GCAACGGAGTGTTTTATTGTTCCATTGTCCACTGCTGTTCATCGAAACACATAAATCTTCAATAATTAAAGGTGCAAAAAACCGTATGAGATTTAATAGTAAAAAACAATTGGCACTGTGAAGGCTTTATTTGATTGTAAATTATAACCCCTAGTGAAGGTTATCGTCTGAGTGGCAGTAGTTTAGGTGCAAAGTCTGTTGAAAGCTTTTGTTCATCTGGTTCACATGTGGATAAACTTTTCAAATACATTGTGTGTGTGTTCTAACTAATTACCAAACTAATTTTTGTAGTTCGAACACGTATCTGCGTTCCTGATTCTGTATACGAGGATTGTCTGCAAATGTCCGACAACATTCCCGGGCGCTTCTCCTGCATTAACGCTAGAGACAAGTGAGTGGGTACTAAAACGTAGACTGATGAAACTGACTTTTACATTTTAAAATAATTAGATTTGAGTGCATGACCTTAATTGACAAGGATGAAGCTGACATTACCAACTTGGACGCTGAAGATCTGTACCTCGGTGGCCGGCTATACGACCTCGAGCCATTTGCTATGGAGGAAGTTAACGGAAGTAAGTTGATTTTCAAGTTTAGCCTGTTAAACTAAAGAAACAATCCTTCAGACATCTACCTTCAACGGTCTGCCGTCATTGTGCCACGTCGTAGTCGCATCAGCAGCATCGCCGAGTTGAAGGGAAAACGTGCCTGTCTGGGGCCGTATAACCAAATTCACCGGTGGAATGTGCCCATTGGCATACTGCTCGCCTCCGAGACCATCGTCCCTGACTGTCGTGGAGAGCTACACACTGTGGAAAACTATTTTGGCGACAGCTGTGCCGCCGGAAACTGGTCCACCGATGCAGAGCTTGACGAGGAACTCAGTAAGTGCTGTTGCACACTGTCTCTCTGTACAGTTGAGCAATATCACTTCTAACCACATCTTTCCTTCTGTTTTTAGAGCGATCGCACACTCGCCTGTGCTCCCTCTGCAAGGACTCCTCTTTTGCGCCCTGTTCGGAGAATGACATGTTCGCCGGCCCAGATGGCTCGCTGAAGTGTCTCGTTGAGGGTGGTCGTGGTGAGGTAGCCTTCAGCACCATTGAAAATGCCGTCGAGTACTTCGCCCGCCGACCTGAGGAACGAGAGCACTACGAGCTGCTCTGTCTCGATGGCATGAGAATGGCCATTACCAGTCGAGGCTGTGACTGGGCGAAGCACCCCACCAACACCTTTGTCATTCGAAAGAATCGAGGTAAGTTGTTGTTTTAGCACTTGTTAAGCAGTTTATGAAACAATCCTTTTGTAGAGAGAAACAAGGAACTGTACCTTCGCAGTCTGCAGCAGGTCTTCCAGCAGTACGTCAAGTTGCGCCCTTCATGGTTTGACAAGTCCTTCGTCTCCAGCTGGAACGTTACTCAGCTGGTGGCGATGCCCTTTCCGACGTCACGGTGGAACAAGTATCTGGGTAAGTACCTAGGTGAAAAAGGGAGATCGTTGAGAAATATCAGCAAACCCTGTTTTTCTTTAAAAACAGAGTTTTACCAGCCATCAATAGAGAAGCCACTTCAGGGCTGCACCCGACGGAACATCACCTTCTGCCTGAGCCGTGATGGTGAGCTGAACAAGTGCCAACAGCTGCAGAAGGCGGCCTTTGCCCGGCGCATTCGTCCCTCCATTCGGTGCTACCATGCTGACACGCCCAGCACCTGTGTGCGCCTGCTGAATGAGCGTCGCGCCGATCTGATGGTCCTCCCGCCGGACGCCTTCTACCAGGCGGCCCGCTACCAGTCGCTGCAGGCACTGGCCACCGAGCGCTCCAGTCGACCGAAGTACGGCGTGGCCGTGGTCAAGTCCAACTCGGACATCACCGCCTTTGGCATGCTCAAGGGACGGCGGTCCTGTCACACCGGCTTCGGACAGCTGGCCGGCTGGCTGGTGCCCATTGGCGCCCTCCTTCAGGACCAGCTGGTGGAGCGGGGCAGCTGCAATCGGGCCTCCGTCGTGGTGGACTACTTTGCGGGCAGCTGTGTGCCGGGGGCGGCGGATGCTCGCATCAACCCCAATGGCACCGGCGTCGACCAGCTCTGTCAGCAGTGCATCGGCGATGAGCGAGGACGGCACATGTGTGACCTGCAAAGTGGAGAAAGGTATGCCGGAGAGGAAGGGGCACTGCGCTGTCTGGTGGAGGGCAGGGGAGACGTGGCCTTCCTTNGAACGAGGACGGCACATGTGTGACCTGCAAAGTGGAGAAAGGTATGCCGGGGAGGAAGGGGCACTGCGCTGTCTGGTGGAGGGCAGGGGAGACGTGGCTTTCCTCTCACATGACACACTGCTCCGCTACACCGACGGACGGTCGCCCCTCAGCTGGGCCACCGAGCTGAAGTCCTCCGACTTTAGGCTGCTCTGCAGGACGCAGGTGAGCACTTATTCACAAGACGGGGATTTTTAGGGGAACTAATAACTGTTTTATCTTCCCAGCCGCCCTCATCGACGATTCAGTTCACCGCCACTGCGCCCTACGATGACATCCTCGGCACCCGAAACAGCGGTCTGAACGCTCGCACGCTGACACAGGCTCTAATCAGCGACTACCACCGCTGTCACGTGGCTCGCATTCCCGAGCCCATCATTGCCACCTCTCTCTTCACGCCCATGGACGTCAGACTGGAGGCGTTGTCGCTGCTAAATCAGCTCAGCGACACCTTTCTCTACCGCAATCGAGACTCCTTCCGCCTGGCGGGCTCATTTCGCAATCGTTCTGACCTGCTCTTCAGCGACGGCGCCGAAAGCATTCACTCGCTTCGGGCGGACACCTCCTTCAGTGAGGCACTGGGCGACTTTCTGCCCATTCTCCAGGACAATGATCCAATTGCGTGTGGGGTAGGTGGTACGAAAGTGGCGCACATACTCACTATACTGATAGTGATGGTACTGTCGAGACTGTTTCTCGCCTAGACTCGAACAGCTTCATTGTCACAACGCGCTACACCTGCAGCTTCTACTGAACTAAATCCAAAGAATGCTACACTCATTTCTCTCTCTCACTTCACTTCACTGGTACGAATCACACTTTGGGTACTTTTTTGTTACACTTTTAATTATTACAAATATAAAGTTGGTATNTGATAGTGATGGTACTGTCGAGACTGTTTCTCGCCTAGACTCGAACAGCTCCATTGTCACAACGCGCTACACCTGCAGCTTCCACTGAACTAAATCCAAAGAATGCTACACTCATTTCTCTCTCTCTCACTTCACTTCACTGGTACGAATCACACTTTGGGTACTTTTTTGTTACACTTTTAATTATTACAAATAAAAAGTTGGTATTTATATACGTGTAAAAGAGCAATATATCATTGAAAAGTAGAAGAGCGGTAAAAGAAAAATACCGTAAGTAGTGGGAGTGCTCAATTTGACTCCGATTTGCCCCCTTCTTTTGACTGACTTTTGCCCAAAGGCTCTGAAGTGGGCATGCCATCAGCTGGTGGGCGGGAAGGCTCGCCACTGGAGCTTTTCTCCTTCTCAGTGAAATTCTGAGACTCACTGGTGGCCAAAACAGTGCTCGAAGCAGTCGTAGTGGTGGTGGTAGTGGTGGTATCAGCGACGGCGACAGTAGTGGCAGTGTTGGGGGTGGCCACCACTGAAGGGGTGCGATCAGTTGAGCCACTAGCAACAGCAGCAGCAGAGCCAGCAGCAGCAGCAGACGACGACGACGAAGCGGAGTCCGTGTTGGGTGAGGTGCTGACGCTGAATGAGGGAGTGACCGGCGGGGAGAGAGCAGTCTGCGAGGGGTACTTGAACTTGGCAACACTGGGCACCGGTGTGGGCGACACTCGCAGCAGAGTGTGGCTCTTCACAGTGGGCGCAGTGCTCTGAATGCTCACCGGGCGACGCACTTCAGCCTCAGCTTCAAAAGCCGAAGTTGAGGCTGAAGTTCCCTCTCCCTCCTCCTCCCAGGCCTCGGCATCAATGGTCTTGCTCTTCCTTTTGGATCGCCCCTTGGCACGGCCCTTTTTGGCGCGGCTACTGCCGCGCAGAAGAGAGGCAGAGCGGCGCCCTTTGGAAGAGGTTCGCTTAGCCTTGCCCAGCTTACCACTGCTCTGCTGCTTTATGGCCTCATCCACATCGGCCACCAGTTCCTGAATCTGCGCCAAACTCAGCTGAATGGTGGCATCCTCCTGGTCGCCGGGCTGATCAGTGGCGGTGGTTGAGGTGCTCGTCAGACTGCCCATCTTCAAGGCGGGAGGCTCATTGTCGTAGGAGTAGGCGTCCGGAGAAGACTGCTCACTACTGGAGATGGAACCGCTAGTCGTCGAGCGAGAAGCTCTCTTGCCACGCTGAACACGACGACCGGGAAGCTTCTTTCTTCCACGACGGCCAGCACCGGTTTTGCGCATTTTGCCACCATAACGAGCGTACGTCTTCTTCTTTTTCTTCACAATGGAGCGACGTGTTTTGCGTGAAGTGGAGCGAGAGCCGCTACGGCGACTACTGCCTGAATTGCTTGAGCTGTACGAGTCAGAATCAGAGTACGAATCCTCGCTGTCAGAAGAGGAGCTATCAGACATGGTTTTTGCTTGAGTGTGATGCTGAATTGCTTCAAATTTGAGACTTGCAGCCAATGAGATGACGTGGTAAATTGAAGCTGCCTTTTTGTATGCTGAAATAATAAAATTCGAACTTTCATCAGCCGTTCAAGAGCAACAGTACCGCTTTATTGAGGGAGGTGCAATATTCTTTCTCAAGTTTTCGTCCTCTAGGGTACTCCCATTTTTAGGGCATTGTAGGAGAGATGGCAATGAGCACCCAGCAACATTGCGAGTGGGAAACTCGATCAGCATTGCCGACCTCTGCAGACACACAATTCAGCAAGGCTAAATGAAGAGTAAATGCGGCTCGTAAAACAACAGACTGGAGCACCATAAAAACATCTGCAAACAATATTAACTTGTCTTTCGTGTTTCCTACTATCTATGCCTATGCTTAGTCGGATAGAGAGTCCTTCTTGTCGCAGTTCCCCCTTTTTTATTGCCACTAAACTGGTGCGCGCAGGGTGCAGCTGCCTGAGCCTGAGCCGAAGCCAAGGCACTTTGCACGTGAGAGTACGTTGATCATCTCATCAACTGACATTGACCACTTCAGCAAGTATATTAACTCGCCCTCTTCCTCTCCCTCTTCCGACCACCTAAAATGTCCCCTCATCTTGGGGGAATTGATATTGCAAGCTCGTCGTCATCTTCGTCATCATTGAGGTCGTCTTTGTCGTCATTTGCCTGCTGCTGCTGCTGACTGACAAAGTGACTGCATACTCACTGCACATTGCCTTCCCTTTTGCCATTCAGTGCTCTCGGCAGCCTCTACCACCATCACCACCAGCTGGTATCACTCGAATCAAACACACTCACAAACGAGTGTTCTGTTCTACAAACAAACAAATCAGAGGGGGAAAGAAAGAGAGAAGCTGTAATTGCCGGTGGCTATATTTAGCAGACGGAGCGACGAGGAAAGGCAGAGCGAGAGAAGGAGAAGGATGCAAGGGGCGAAATGCGAAAAAGGGCAATTAAAGCTGTGCGTGAGTGCGAGTATGTGTGTCTGGGTCTGACTCAGACTGACTTATGAAAGAGTGAAAGTGAAAATGAGAGAGAGAAAGAAAGTTGATTGCTATAGAGTGAAACAATGCAGTGGGTGCAAAAAATGGAGACTCAATGGGTCGCCCAATGCTTCCGATCGAGTGGCTGCCTAATTGATAAAGCCCTACATATGCACTGACGAGAAAGAGTTAGTCTGCCGCTGTGGTTTCGGCGGGGGATAACTGGCAATATTAGTGTCGGTTTATGCTTTAAGAGCTGACATTCGCATCGTCTCCCTCGCCGGGAGAGAGACCTCCATTCCGTAACTGACAGCTTCTTGGAAGCCTTTCCAATTGGGGAAAATATGGGCGCAAGTTGAGTTGATCAGGGTGGCTTTGTGTGTGACTGCTCTGTGCAAGCGGGGAAAAGGGACTTAAAAATAATTCTGATTTGCAATTAAAATACGCAGAATTCAAGAGCTGGAAAGGAGAAGTGCAGGGGAGCGAGAGCGTTTAATTAATTTGGAAAATCGGGCAAATTAATTAAATTTTGTCAATTTTAAAAACTGGCTGCCGTTTGTTTGGCGCTCTTGTTGTTTCCCTTTGCGGGTCGTAGAAATGCAAATGATTGCATTTGCATACGCAGTCCTCAACTGAGCAGCACTACTGTGCTAGTGGCAGCGCCACTGCTACTGCTGCTCAGTTTAGGTGCTCTCAGACTTCCGTAAACGATTTAGTCACACTGCTCACCACTACCTAAGCTCAATTATCCTCCCTCCCTCCCTCTCCCTCTCTTTGTGTTTGTGTTTGGTTTGAATGTGAGTGGCAATTGGCAAGTTAAGTTTAGTCTACTCACTGTCTGACTGGCCGCCGTTGCCAGTATTTGTCACCATCGGCCGACGTGCCAATGACTGTTGGCAGGGTGACGCACGTACGAGTCGTTAGGGCCTAATTTACGACCTCCATCTATCTATCTATCGCCATCTCTCTCTCTCACTTGCTCTCCTTAGCCTCATTTAGAGGGTTGAATATTCTAGTGGAGCATCCACGACGGCGGAATATTTGAATATTTGAACAGTCGAAAATGAAGAAGAAGAAGAAGTTTCGATGGTGGAGAGCATTCGAAATGCCGCTGATGATGATGCTGATGCTGCTGCCGCCGTCGATGTCGTTGCTATATACACACCTGACCCTGGTGGACATGAGGACATGATGTCTGTGGTGCCCACGTTGACTTGATGCAGTCGTCCGCTGCTTCACTGGTCGTGGCCTGTGAACGTGGTCAGCTGTGCCCCCATCTCGAATCATCATGTACCTCGCCAGCTGCGGCCAGCACACTTCTTCGCAGTCTATCTACCACCGCCACCACCGTCGCCGCCTGTTCATTGTGGCTTCTGTTGCCGCTCAGTCAGTGATGTTCATTCGTCGGCTGGCTGCTGATCGAGCAACATCACTGCCACTTTTCCTCTTCCATTTCTTCTTCTCTTGTTCTCCTCTTCTCTCTCATTCACTCACTCACTCTCTCACTCTCTCTCGCATTTTCCCTTGCTCTTTTCCCTCGTCGCCAAGTGATCGTTCTCCCTTCGACAACTCTTGCCTCTGCCTGGAGGGGAATACACCTCGAGGATAGGAACAACAACACTCACCATCGACATACCGGTATGCGCTGCTCCACTCTGTAAACACTCGTGGCCATTTTCGTCTTGGTGTGTTCTACCGTAGTGCTGCTGCTGTTGTTGCCGCCGCCGCTGCTGCTGCTGGTAGTGCTGCTGCTACTGCTGTTGTTGGTAGAGCGCACGAGCCATCTCGCATGTGGTGGCACTGGGTGGAGTCT